TGTACTATGGGGCGTTACCATCGACACATGTTTCCTTTTAACCAATTCCAAACCAATTCAGGCACCTCTGGCTCAATCCACCATTGCTGAGGGCTGCGGCTCCCCTAAAATCCCCTAAAATGAGATTTCCAAGTATTTCCTTTCAGATGCAGCCTCTGGCCCTGCCAGTCTATGCCCACAACCATCATGCCTGGGCTGGGAACTGCTCGCTGCCATGTCCCTTTGGGGACCAGACCTTTGCAAACTTCTTGAGGCAGCAACGTTTTGCTCGGCATCACACAGCCGTGGTCCCGCTCTGCAGGGCCAACCAGGCAAGGCCAGCATTAAAAAATACCAATATTAATCCTGACAGATGAGGGAGGTACGGGCTTTCTGAGATGGCACCTGCCGCAGGCTGGGCACAACGGCAGCAGCTCCTGTGAACCCGCAGTCTTGACCCAAACGTGGTCTCTGCCAGCCAAGCACTTTGGGGCAAGAAATGCACGCCTTCATCCCCAGCTCGAACGCTCCCCAAGCAAGCACAGGGCCTGAAAAGTAGCAAAATATTTATGTGTGTTTCTATTTTGTGCTGCGGTGTTGGGGATGTCTGCACAGCGTGGCCACTGTGTCCTCCCGGTCACTCCATGGCCAGGCACCAGCAGGTCACACGCCATCAGTTAAAGCTACTCTTTAGGGATCTTGCAAATTGGGAAGAGAGGGCAGAGGTCTGGTTCAAATCCCAGTAGCTCATACAACAGCCAAGACTCTTCCAGAGAAGTCGCAAGGAAGCGGCACGGCTGGGGTCTCCTACCTACACGCTCCTCTCCCAGAAGGAGAGCCCCTCCTCGGGGGTCCCAGCCAAGCCAAGGGTGCCCAGATGCCGTGAAGGGCTCTGGCTCCTGCCCAAGGGCTCCGCATTTCCCAGTGGGAAGCACCGGGGTTACACGGCACGTCGGTCCACCGGGGTTACACGGCACATCGTTCACTGCGGCTGATCCTGCTCCGCAGCCCGGCTCCGAGCACCCCGTGGGACTCAGGGGGGGGTCAACGAGGGAACATCTGCTCCTTCTTTCTTCCCTTTTTAAACAGAATACCCAAGGAACAGTCGGAGGGATGCTTTATACAAGGAAACCTCTATGCATAGAGCTCAGGAAGAGAGCAAAATAAACAGCAAGGGATGCTGGCTCCTCCGGGACCAGCTTGGCAACCGGAGCCTCGGGCTCTGCCGCGGCCACAGTGCCCAACTGCTTCCCATTAAACATCCTCTGCCCCTCACGTGGTCTCTGTAACCCAGGGGTTACGTTTGCTTGCTTGCTTAAGCACGGAAAGCTTTTCTTGGGTTTTTGGACACATAAGAGCCTTATGGGACTAGGGCAGCCAGGCGCCCCGTTATTTCACACGATACAATGGTACCGTTTGAGAGCTCTGACTTTCTCTAAACTGCTACCAGATGGTCACCTCCTGTTGCCGGGGAGGAAAGAGGGGGAGGCTGCAGGTCTCATCTTTCAAGGAGCCCTTGGAAACCCAACACAGCATTAACCGCTCACGGCCCTTAAAGCTTCCCACACCCCTGTCACCAGGCAGCAGGATGCTCACGGTGGTTTTCTGGCCCAATTTGAGTGCAAAGAGCGCATTCACCCCCATTACTGTGGGGCCACCTGGGCTTGGCTTATCCGAACCTACTGACCACGACGCCATTGAATAGCCTACACCATCCGTAACAGAGGTGGATGCGCTTTTGTGAACTAAAGGCTCAGTTACAGGGACAAGTAGGATGTTTTTCATGTACCTACAGGGTATATATATGCTGTATATTAAACCCAGAGGTCCCGCAGCAGAAGGGGAAGGGAGTTGCACCCCTGCTGCAGGGCCAGAGCAGGGTATCTCTATCC